CTCATCTTTCTGGCTGGTGAGTGCCTACTGCTCGGGCCGAAGGAGCCTACTTTTCTTGCCACAGCTCAGTGTTGCTTGAAGGTCTCAATAAAATAAACGATAATCGATTTCTATTGGCTGACTACGTACGCTACTCGACCCTGAAGCTACGTAACACCCCTATTTATTCCGGCAACCCCACTTTGTGATCGACCTGTGCATGGAAGCTCAACACGAGTTCGACCTCGGCCCATCAGAACCTTTCACCTCAGGCCCTCGGCAACGGTGAGGGTTTCATAGAAGAGTTGCTCAGTTGAAGCTTCGTCAGTTCGAGAAGACTCTCATGAACAAGCTGGTCGGTAGCTCAAAAAGGATGTGCAGCGGCTCAATGAACCCTAAATTCTGTCAGGGCACCGGCTTTGCAGGATTGAACCCGAGATAACCGACAGTGTCCAACGGCGGTGGCTTACATACATGAACCTGCCAATGAACTGTAAGCGTCTGAATCGGAACAGACTCGCAATCTCCCAGTGTGCAGTAAGGGACAATTTAAAAAAAGGTTTAAATTTCTGGAATAGTAGGTCCCCTGTTATGTTAAAGCTATTTTTGTTAATCATACAACTGTTCTGCCACATCCGGGAAACTTACAGCCATGATGTTTGCCGTTAACGCCCCCAGTGGAGCACCCTCAAGTTATATTAGCCAACCTCCAATTGGTATGCTTCACCTGTTTTGATCTATAGTCAGATCACTATATTACTGTATTCTCCTTCTATCATTTGATCGCCCACACTCCACGCCCACCAAGCGCGTTTTGAACGCTGCCCATCGCCGGCAGCATGATGACAAGCCAACGTGATCCCGATCCTCTACAGCCAATACCACCGAGCCAAAGCACAGATGACATTGTTCGGACGATCATGAAGGTCAGAAAAAGTTGGAAAACTCTGAAGGGTAAATCCGAGCCTGTATGGCCACCTGGTCTCGAAGCCATGATGCTGGAAGGTGCGGATTGTATTCATAACCTAATCAATAGGTCACGTGACTCTGAGCCCAGGCCTTCAAGAATATGGATCCGCTCACTACTCTCGGGACTCGGAAGCACATGTATTGAGTCGGTTCCCTCAACGCAATCAGTTCATCTCAGATTACATTTATCGCAAGACGGGAAAGCACAGATCATCAAAACAAATAGGCAGTCGTCTACAACAGTTTAAGGACACAGTCGAGGGTCGGGAACGTAAGTATCCGAGTCCGTTATCCTGTGCACGGCGTAACTAGAATTTACTGTTTTGGAAGTGATCGATTCGCTTACCCTGCAATATTATGGTGCGCGGAGCGAAGTCGACTTGTCCCGGAGGTTTTCTCCTCATAGCCAGGATGAATCCAACCCTTCTCCTTCCTCTATATATTCCAACCTTTCGACGTCAACCAGCGTCGACTCATCCACTTGCTCATCTGAATCCACAGACTCGTTTATATCTTCCGGACAATACATGTCATCGTCTCAACGAAACCACCTTCCTCAGGATATGCGTACCCCAGTATACATTGACATCTTGCCAGAGTCTAGCTCATTCTCATCAAGTTCCCATGCACCATTTTCCTCTCCATATAACTTGCCCCCTCCAGGTGTCGCTTCGCACACCTCCTCAGACACACCACGTCCCATAAGGGACATCGATTCCACTGTTACCTTCGTCTCCCCCTCAGCCGTCATTGGCAAGTCATCCTACATAGTGTTATTGGATGGCGCACCCATCCACAGCGAGGACACGAAACTCGAATGCGTCGGACCATATTTTACCGGTTCTTCCGGTGAAGGTCCATTGCTGTACAGCACACCTCTAGTTCCTAAGTACTGGGAGACCCTGTGCAAATCTCCAGGTCCGTATTTTCCGAGCTTGATGCGTAATAGACGTTTGATTTATTTGTCGCCAAAGATCCTACCGTATACACCATCATTCAGGATGTGTACCGTATTTTGGACCCAGGAACTCCCGCAAGATCCTCAGGTCGCCCACGCCCAGTTCCTATCTTCTCTGCTACATACCATTTCCGATATTCCGTCTCTGTACAGATGCCCACATCTTCCATATCACCACATGTCGCATATCAAGCCAATTCACAACTCTTCGCAGACGCTGCTCATGCTTCTCCCGATTTACTTGTCCCCATGCATCCACTCTCTTCTCAAAATTACCCTGTGCCCTCGAGTTTCTCGGAACAAGGGATCCTTCAGTCACACGGATACAGCACGCAAAACAGGCTGGACGAACCATTCATATTGGATGGCAGCCTTGATACCTTCTGCCTAGATGATTTCGTAACCAATATTCATAACTCGCCTGACACGACACACAATGAGACGATGGCACAGTCTTCGCCAAGCTTCCCGAACGACATCCGCAATTATGTGAGTAATCTACCCAATGAGGGTGACCTCCTGCTTACATCTCCATCAGATTATGTAGAACAGTAGTGCACAAATGATTATATTGGCATGTACTGTATGATTGTAATCGTATCGGAGTCACGGTCTTCTAGTAAGGCTAGGTACTTTTTTTGGTTCACTTTGATATTTGTCCCTTGCTAGCTTTAGTAGATAACTCATTGCGCGATTATTGTTATGATGGTCATCTGGTGTGACGTAGGTTCGTATTATGAGCATCTCAGACGCTGACGGCGGGTCATCGACTCGGAGCCTGTACTGACCATTCTCATTCCTCTTCTGATTGATGTCGCGATTCCGTAGTGATCCCTCCATTGTGAGGAGCGCTAAATTTCCAAGTCGGGTGCATGATACCTTATAAGCCCATCTAACCGTTGTGGCAGAAACCAATGATTTCACGCTGCGCGTTTAGTAAGTGAAACAAAGACACGATGAAGCATTCTGACAGGGCAATTTTCAAATTGCTTAGGAGTGTGATTACTTCTTGTTTCGCTTTCAGCAAATAAACTTTGCATTCCACAGCGGCCTCGATCAGTCCAAGTTACTGCTCTTTACTAGCGAGATGAATTATATCCTCGCCACATTGATATCAGGGCGAGGGTCAGTCAACTGATCGGCGCCTTTGGAATTCCTTGGCCAATTTAGTCCTTCCTTATGACCACATTTTGCGCCAGAAGACGTACTGCTTATCAGTATTAAAGACACGACCTTCTTGACGTCTTCCTTGGCGCCAGTACTACTTGCCGTTGCAGCGATGGAACTAGAAGGTAGCTGAATATGACAAGATCGTGGTGTCTGGCTCCTTGGCGCAATTATTCTTGTAATAGCATTTTCTACAGAATGCGAGGAGCTGAAAAGGCATTCCGAGGCCCAATGCCGAGGGAAATTAAAGTAAGCACGTACGAGGACAGATGTTTGTACATGGCCTGTAAAATGGGAAACACGAGGTGACGGACGTTAGATATCCTGTGTATTTTAGATCATCGTTTTCTTCTCAAGTAATAAGTGGATGGCTAGATAGGCAACACAACGTAGAATAAATTAGTACAAGCTTTGAAAATCGCGAAAGAAACCGTAAAAAGACCGTAACACACGGAAGAAAAATGTGGATTGTCGGTAAGAAGCTGACAGATGGATGATTTACTACAGAGAACGGCAGAGAATAGATGACTTTCCTTGATAACAAAGATGCGAGAATGTTAGCAGCCACACTAGTGACTAATTGCTGGAGTCGAGCAATCTCGACTTCATCGTATCGAGACCCGGCCGACGACCGGTGAGCTTTCGCTTTTGTCGTATCCAGTTACTTCCTGATCCACGTTGCAATCATTACCCCGTGGCAAGTATTGTGGAGAGTCAGAACGATCGTGTTCCACTATCTCGACTCGACGGGCCACCACCAGTCGCATTTATGCGTGACCGCGTAGTCTGCTGAAGATTTGAACAGAAAAATTCATCAGGGAGCTCATGGATTGGACTGCAGTCGTTCCTGTGTATTGGGAGAGGCCGGACCACGGCAGTGACTATTACCGTGCCGAAATTGAGTCAGGCGGGGACCTGAGTTTAGATTAGTCAACGGATAGCTCTGTTGCCCAAAACAGATACAAATCGCCCATTAGGATATGTTTTGCACATTGAACAGCAGCATCGACCAACTTCCTTCCATCACTGGTCTTTTTATGATTCTGTTCCACAGTATTTGAGCCCACGGATATTCACCCAGTACACGATTGGATGCGCGGCATGATACAGGAAAAGTCTCCCAAGGTAGTGACCTCTTGACATTCTGAGACAGCGGCAACCTAATCGATATCGCGATCAGGGGAGGCAATAATAGGCATGCACGGCTCTCGATACCAAGATCTGGACCCTTCTACACTGGACACGCTGTCTATTCGGATGTGGCTAGTATGTCGAAGAGTAGCCGAGCCGTGGTTCTGGACCTTGATGATATCACCTGCAAGTTGATGTGACTATCTCGTTTATGTGCACCCATACCATGGAGTCACCATATCAGTGGCTTCGTACCTTGTATCTCTGGCGGACGTAATGCAGGGTGCATCGGTGCACCGGTGAGGTAGGGAACGGTGGGTGAGCTCCATTTGCACTCATCTAAATAAATGTAAACAGGCACGTCGCGTCTGCCTCATACGGAGTCATACCGTAATAGTAGGCGGGCTGGTCAAGCTTTAAATTTCAAGGTTGGTGCCCAGTCTACGCACTTCACGTTGCCACCAATACTAATTATCGCATCCCGTTTATTTTCATTCTAAGCTGTACATAGTGTGTCATACCGTCACCGATAAATTTCATCAAGGTTTGCACATACAGTGTCCCCCGGTTCAATCATTTGACTCAATTCACCGAACTCTTGCCACACTACCACCTTTGCATACTTATACCGGCCCATCGCTGCTACCAGGATGTCTATATTGACCGCATCTGTGCATCATGGCTACCATGACATATATCCCTCCCCACCCGAACCTAAATTCCCCAATCAGTCGCCTGCATAGACAGCAATTCATACATCTACTAGTTTGTGTAATATATAATGTTGGAGATATCATATGACATTCCGCCGCAAACCCAGATGCAATCGACCCCAAACATGCGCTCGCAACGCGACGAACTTACTTCCGCTCCCCAAGAATCATTTCCATAGTCTCTTCCACAGCCCACGCCCCAATCCGCGCCCAGCGTGCATCCTCTCTTCTCAAACACCTTGTAATTTCTTCCGCTCCAACCTTGACACTCTTGCCTCGCATCCCCTTCGCGCGCATGATCTTTCGCACAGGTGCAGCAAGCAATGTTGGCGTCACAGAAACATAAGCCTCATCTTCCTCATACATCGGTGGATCAGAGAGATAAGCATCTTCTTCAGACATGACGAACTTGGACGAAGAAGCCCCAGTAGAAGAAAACATCGTGTTATTGGCGGTTGAAAACACTGAGCTATTCGCACTTGAGCAATTAGCAGTGTTGTTCGCAGTCTTCCACAACCCGCTTGTGTCGCCAGACTCAGGAGGACGCGAACCGGAGACAGCAACGGGCGTCAGTGGTTGGTCCCAGAGCACGATGCTACCCTCTTCATATAACTTTAATACCGCCCACGAAAATAGGCGCTTCATCTTCACACGCGGCACATCTGTGGGCTTGGTCCTCGTTCGTGAATGAGTAAGGGCTTTCGATAAGGCCACATGGGTATTGTTCGAGGAGGTCTTCTGTGTCTGCATAGCCTTGTCTTTTTCTGCATCCCTCTCTGCTCGGGCGCGTCGCTTCCTCTCGGCATGAACCACCCGGCAAGCGAGAAGCGCGAGTTCTGGAACGCGGCGTAGGTGCGAGAGCGTGAATGCAGGGCGATCGGGAGCACTATCATTCAGAGTAGATGCGCGTGGCGTCATGTTATCCGTTGTATACACCGTTCGTGCCTTAGGAGTCTGGTCCAATGGAACGCGCGGGCGCTTGGTCGGCGTCGAGAACAAATTATCATCTGTGTCCCAATGAAGGGCCACAACAGCATGGTCCATGTAATGCTTGAGGTACAATCGAAACGTGTTCTCAGTCAAGTCCCGCGCATGTAATCGGGAAGGGTGACGAAGTTTCGGTGGATCCTGAAAAATGAAGGGTTGGGTGGTGGTTGTATACAGTGCAGAATACTCACTGTAGATCCATGTTTAATTGGACTGGATGCGGCGGAGGTTGTACTATCCGTAAGTGGTGAGGATGGGGCATGATCGTGTGCTGGACGCTTCAAGGGCGTGCGGGGCGCGGGGATACCCGTCCCCGATGCCGACGTGGATGCCGCAGCTGGCTGTCTCCTTTCATGCCAGTTTCCAAGCTCTTCCGAACCAGTCTCACATGAAGAAACAGCAAGAGGCGCTGGTATCTCAAACGGTTTCGGCACGGAATATCTCGACTTGTGAAGCTCCGCAACTGTTTTCCAGTGTTTCCATTGGTCATTAGTCGACTCGCAGGGTTCTTCAAGTTCATTCCCATGTTGCGTTCGTGAAGAGAAGTCACGGGGACACGCTCAGTTTGCAGCGAAAGATAAGTAGCGCAGCACTTACCAATAGATTCGACTACTATTTGTCTTGTATCGTAGAACCGAGAAACTTTGCCGATTACTTGCACTGGGTAACCGATAGCAGTGACAGGAGTGGGTGGCGCAGGAGGAATAAGTGACGTCGCCTCCCATTTTGAGTTCTGAACCGAGCGACTTGCATCAGTATTCGTTGGAGCTTTCGGTGGCAAAGGATGACGAAGCACGCAGTCTATGACAGCCGTAGAATCGTCGACTATTGAACAAGCTCGGTATTTACTCGAAAGTTTAGCCACAAAAACGGTTCACTCACTCGTGTACAACGTCCGTTTCTCGTAGTCCTGGATTCCAACCACTATGCCAACAATGATCACTTTTCGACAGGGGATGTGTCCCAGCCAGTAAAAGTCGGCATCTGAATCCACGGTTGGTTAGGCAGGTATTGCGGTTAAGCAAACGAGGCAGACCTCCGGTGTTGCTTTCCTTCATCGAGAGGGCGTCTCTAATGAAGCATGGAGCAGTCGCTTCCTTGGTGAATGTCCACTTCCAGATGTCCTGTGTGGATGGAGATGTGCTGGAAGAACTCATGTCGTTGGACTTGAGATTGTCAGCAATCTCGACATTCGCAGTCACTGAGTGAGTCGTGTATCGGACTTCAAAGCTTCAAAGCTAATGATAGGGTCGTGACACCACTGACGCGTAAATGACATGTCCACGTGATGTCGTGACCTTACTGAAAGTTACAGCAACTGTGTCTCTACAGTACATAGCTACATATTTGCGCAACTTGCTGGAACTATATAACGAAGACAAGGTCAAGTGGCCAAAATATTCCTGTGCCAATCCTGATTGCGACTTCTCAGAACTTGATCCAACGTATCGAGGGCTATATTATCGTCAACCAAGACGAACCTCTGAGCACGGTCCGACCTCCAGAGCTCGAGATGCATCCGTGTAACGAGCAAGGCATGTACCGTGACCTGTAGGCTTTGATAACATCCTATTGAGTATCTCATTCCCCGACACCGACACACGACGTACTTTGAAGCCATATCACCGTACACAGACTGTCATGCCGACTGGTAAGCACAGGAAGCATAAAGGCTAGCTGTGAGAGATGCGCACGTACAGGAAGAAGCGCTATAGTCAGGATGACAAGAAGCGAAAAGACTGGTTAAATAGTTTCAGCAGCAAGCACGAACTGCCGAGACTATTGTACCACGTACAAAGTCCGCAGATGAAATAGAATACGTTGTGCTGAATGAGAATATTGAGCAAGTGATTGTCGTTTGTAAGACTTCTGTAATGTTTGATGGAGCGGTATAGTGTAAAAGACAAAATTTCTGTGAGAAAACTGGTCAAACCTGATAGATTTTTTTTCATTCAACGCTCACTCACCAAATTCAGCGACTACTAGTAAAACATAGGCTACAACAATGATGCGACTTTCGCCGACATTATAACAGCTGGTGATGTTGGGGATCGGAGGTTCGGATACTTGTAAATGCATCGATTGGTGTCACTCTTTGGCAGCGACGGGAACACATACTTGTCACAGAGTTGCCAAAGCTAGTCAATATATAGATGACTGGGATCAAAATTGCCTGTGAAATAACTGTCTCTCAAGAGGGACGCTCGGGAGGGATCTAAGCGTACGAAGAAGGAACTCAAGAGAATGATCAATATCCTCCTGCTTCTTCCCCAGATGGCGTACGTTCTCAAAATGAACATCCCTACAGGTATGATGTTTCATCGTAAAAATAGTGCAGAATAGGGGTCAAAACCTACATTCCGCAGCCACCAGTGTGATTCCCTCAAGCCCTGTAGATAAATGAGATATTTGTTAATCTTGGAGGCTTGTAAGGCACTGACATGAGTTTATCTGGAAGTATGTCTGACATTGCTGGTTGACACGTCAGATATCGTACAGCACACTCTGAAGAAAGCACCTCACACTCAATGGCAAGGCAGGTTGTAATACCTCTACAACACTTTCAATCATGCAAACAGTAATACGAACTAGGGCTCACGGTAGGTATCTGCAGCCAATAGCACAAATGGCAGATAGCGACACATCAGATACAGTATCTTGACCTTCCCCCACGTGGACTTGCGAAAATAGGCCAGCTTCGAAACCATTGGACTCAGAATCGCGAGGATAGCAATAATCGAAGATGGTGTACCTCATCGTCGAATGTGATGATATAGTCATAGACCTTTATAAATGTCAATCGAGAGGTACAGAGAAACTCTGGCAACAACACGAACCCAGATCACAGTTGTAGACACTGAGTTGATTTCAAATAGGCTGGTGCCAGTTGACAAGAGTTTCTCTCACCATAGGCGTACTAGGAAAATCCAGAGTCAGCATCTGCGAGGTCACTGTTTGCATGACTCACATTTAGATTCAAAAGAGATCGCCCTATCACGAAGTCGGTTGGTTCATAGAGAGCCATGGGGTTGGAGGAAGATGTCAAATGGCGTACCACTCCTCTTGCCATCTACCATCTATAAGAAGCCGATAAATTCAGGCACGGATATTCGACGGCAGTGCCGGAGCGGCCATTAAATGAGCCCCAAGGGTGTGCGCGAGTGATGAGCACTGAGGCGGTAGCAGGCTGCAAGGACACAGTTACGCTGGAACTCGCTCATCGTCCAAGCGCATATTGAACGCAAATCATGGAATGGAAGACATTGGCTAGAGGGGTGCTAAGTAGGAGTCTGGGTGAGTTGAGTATGCGTAGACGCGCGGAGGTATCTTGGGGCTATGTCGCCGGGCTGATCGGAAATATTATCGACTTTTCGCCAATCAGATGACCGAGAACCTATGATATTCCCGAAGAGAGATACTAGGAGATACCCGCGCGGAACGCCTTGATCAATGTCACTGGATAGAAGTATCAAGGGTTTCCTATGAACATTCAGATATTTGCCCGTCGGCCTGGGTTGTGATCGTGGGAACTAGAGAAGTTACTTATACTGGCATAGACTACAACGATGAGCCGCTGACAAGATTGCGACGTCAGACGAGCTTGTAGCATGATCTCAAGTTACGGGTAAATTCTTACTATTACTAGTAGGTAATCGCACTACAGCTAACATCATATTCATAGGCCAGAATCCATTTTTGTTCATTCACCTGGCTGCTGGATTGTGACGGCGGTTTCCAACTATAGTGAGAGAAGATGAGAAAGCTGCGCAGTCCGAAGTATCGTAATAGGCAGGACCCTTTTGTTTGGCCAGCTCCACGAATGAACAAAAATGGATTCGATATGATGCTAGCTGTAAGTTCTGGCGAGTCAACCACCTACATATGTATACGAAGGAGGATAGTCGTTCCTTCTACTAGTAATAATAGCGTCAGTGGTCAACTCCCGACAAGTGACTTTTTACTCATACCTGTAGTGATTAATCTCAGTCACCTTTGGCCCAGCTTGCGTGCGGTTGGCACGGTGATGGATTCACTTTCAAGGCTGTGCGTACTCGGATCAAACCAATGGAAATGATACACATCCTTGCCTTGGAATCCCCACTCATCAGCTCAGTTTAAAGACTGTCACCCGTTCCTTTTTGATTCCCACTCGCGAACCCGGAGATCGTACTATTACAGTCTCACCGAGCACTAGTGCTGCGGAAGCCAGAACGACGCAGGGAGGACAATGAATGCTATCAGTCATGACTCATCGTGAGCCCAACACTCACCACAGCGGATCTCCGTCAACTTACCTAACTTTTAGATAGCCAATACATATTCAGCGAATGAAAATCATGTATCGTTCATCGACGCGTCCAGGAAAAGACGTTGGCAACATTTACACGGAAATACCATGAATTGATGCAGACCGCAGCAGGCTCACCTGGCTCACCTCCCGCGAGTCGTGAGTATACAAAATGAAAAATGGATACACCCTATATTGACTCGGAGGTCCCAGGATTCACTATCACGGCCCGCTTGTCACTTGCCCGATTCACCTCAGTAATACGAACCGGATCAGCGGTGACCCGCGCCTGGATATTTTTTCATGTCACTTGTCTGGAGTTCAGTTTTTGACTTTTACGAGCTCTCGCACAGTTGCCATTTGTTGTCACATCACCAAAATAAATTCAATTGATTGGATTTGAAGAATGTTTTTGTACCTGGGAACTCCTGGATACCGCAGCATTATCATGCCAATTGGTATAGCTCACGAGATATCATAGCAGTGACTCCGTAGTTCGGCAACCGGTGAGTCGGTGACCTTCACGGCGCGACAGTGGGAATGTAGAACATAGTTTGCGTATAGCATTAGCGGTCTTGCCATGTAGGCGAACTGTTTCGGTCCGGAAGACACCACTGTGATACACGAGCTCCTCTCCTACAATATACTCCTATGACAATCAAGCGGCGTTATTTTCCAGAATTCATGCGTTTGACCCCAAAAGGGTGTCCTCTCCCTCCTCGGGCCAAAACTTCTCCTCAAGTTCCACAACTCTCTCCCAAATACTCTCCATCGCACGTACAGCTGAGTGCGAATGCCCATGGTGACGTCTAGCAAAGTGCCTGTTTGCCAGAGCCTCCACGTTCTGGACAAATTCCCCAAACTCCGGTCTCGTCCAGTTGTTTGTTAGCTGGCGAATCGCATTTGCAGTATAGTCTTCTGAGTCACTTTGGGGAGGGAACAGGGATTTTACATATTTCCATGCATCGAGATATACCTAAAGAGCCTGTGTCAAGTAGCATAATATGTCGATTGCGAGCCATACACACCTGTTCCATTGCCCACAGAAACACGAGTCCCTCTTCCAACGAACCAACAGAAGCTACCCTCGCCATCTCAGCTGTGTAATCTCGCGTGGCCTTCCGTTCTTTCCACCCATCGATATCCAATTTCCACTCCTCTGCGACCCCTTCAAAGAATGCAACCTCGCGAATAATCCCCTCCAAGCATATCGTCAGCAGGGCGAGAGTCTCTCTGTTCAATTCCTCCTCAACAGCAGGTCCATCGAAGGGAATTTTTGATATGAGCAGACCAATAAAGTGTGGGTATGCGTGTGCCGCATAAATGCGATCCTGACAGAGCCAAAACGCAAGACGGGCTGGAGATAGGGTCAGCGTACCAGCAGCTGTAAGAAATTCGTGCCGAGTGGCTGCGTTGTAGCATGGCCTCAAGGTAGCTTGGTCTTTCAGATGTTGCGTGATATGACTATGCATGTTTGACAACTGAGTGGTGGGAGTGAGCGGGTAGTAATGCACGCATATACGTCATCATACATCTTATCTTATCTTATCTAGTACTCACTTCCCTGGCAACTCGACTTCCCAGACGCGCACACATCCATCGGCGCCAGCGCTCAAAACACGTCCTGTCTTTTTACCATCGGTGACTTGTGCATCACCGAGCCAAATGACACAGTTAACGCCCCCTGGACCCGCCCCCTTAATGAGAACACGTTTCGATATGTTTTCCAAACTCCAGACGTAGAGGTTGGTGTCAAGAGATCCCGAAACAACATGGGTCGGAGACAGGGCTGGAAAGAATTCCAAGGAAGATATACGCGCAGTGTGCCAGTCCCAGCGAGTCGGAATAGGCTGGTGGTCCATGACATCATTTCAGTGTACCCGGTGTAGTGATTAGCAAAACTTACCTCACCACTCTGTGAGTGATATAACGCGATCTTTCCGGCAGACTGTATATGAGATGTTGGTAACGGGAACCTGAATCAGAATTGGTGCTTTAATACTCACATTTCCTTGCACTATCAATGCTCCATCATTTGAAACCGCCAGCGCAGTTATCGTGCCCTCGCTTTCCGGAAGTACTAGTTTCTCCGTCAACGTATTACCGTTCCAAGTATAGACGTGCACGCGTTTATCCTTGAGCACGATAAACTGAAAAATCACAGTTCACAAAATGGAGATGCTCACCTCCCCACCTACTGCAACCACAAGTCCCCCAGCGCCCACTGCGCTTGGTGCATATGATGGTTTCAGTTCGAAAACCCGTTGATTGTTACGGATTGCTTCAACCGAGGTGATGCCAGCGACAAATACGGTCTCGTCTGATGTCACTGCAACAGACTTGGGCTGCGACAATGAAGGGATGGAAGCAGGTCTATCACATCCATTTCAATAAAACAACGACGCGGAATAGCAAAAAACAGACGTGTATGTGGATCCCTCAATCTCTCTGATGTGGTCGTCATAACCCGCGGTGAATACTTTCCCAGAGCTTGCAGTCGCCATGCCAGATACAAGACTAGTGTGTAGCGTGCCCCCTACCAGCTGAACGGCATCTGAAGGTGATGTCGAGTCCACGTTGTATGATAACACTCGCCCGTCAGCTGACCCAGCGAAGAATGTATTCGAAGACGTTGACGAGGCTGCGGTAATTGCTTTTTGTGGAGCCTGTACGAAGAGTGTCAAATAAAGCATCATGAACTCAGGAAGGGTTGCATACTTGAAGGATACGAGTTGGCTTATCTCCCGTGCGCAGGTCAAAGACATTCAAATCACCAGACATAGAGAGTGACACAAGGTCACTGATACCACTCCAGACACCGCCGACTTGCTGATTTGGTACGCCACTGCCAACCGTCCAAGCCTGCAACGACTTACGAGACTCGATATCCCCTGGATATGACGAGTTCAGTCAAGTTAGTAAAGCGCAGTACGTTTGAGTGCGCACATAATCTAACAGTGCAATCCAGAGAAGTCGTAAAGAATGACTTGCTATCTGGGCTCCAAGAGCAGGACATCTAGTAGAGACAATGTCAGTCTCTCAACTCGAATCACGCTTCCATCATAACTCACAATGGTTCCTTTGTGTGGGCTGTCAGTAAACTCTGCGACCGTCTCACCAGTCTTCCCATCATAGAGGAATATTTTCGAGTCTGAGCCCACACTGGCGAAGTGGTCACCTGAAGGTCCAAATTGAACATCTTGCACGAATTTTGTGTGCGTTCTGATAGTCTTCACACATTTTATAGTCAAACACTCATACCCTAAAGAAGTTTCAGACCTTATCATATTTGAAGGGGACGCCTGCAGGATGTCAAGCATTCAGTGTTCGTTCAATGAACTTGAATGCTATTTACCTTGATGAAAGACGATGGAATTATCATCGGAGGCGGTAGCCGCCCTAAAGGGGCGTTGATACCTAATAGAAACAGCATTGATTACCTACCCGAGATGAGCTTGCTAGTTCACAAAAACGGTGACGACGAACCTTTGAGTGTCCACTGATTTGACCCGTCGAAGAGCCGGAATCGGCAAGAAAGGCATGACCAAATCTTCAAAACCACTGTCAGTCTCTGTCCGCTCTACATGGACATTGTGCGTACTTCTCTCTGCCGTCGCCAACCGCAATTATCCTCTTGCTTTCGCCATCCCAAGCCAGATCGTTGCTACCGATTGCGAACAGTGTCACTCAGATAAATTCTCGAAGAGTAGATCATACCACTTACACTTTCCCTGAGAGAACTTTGTATTCTCCTTTCACAGTTTGATCCTCGCCTATGGTATCCCATATCTTGACTGTAGGATCAGATTTGATCAGCGACTTTATCACATAGAATACTGTAATAGATGCGCACCTGTTCCAGTGATGTCTGCAGACGCGCAGTAGAAGCCAGATGGTGAGAAACGTGCAACAGTCGTGTTGTATGCGTGACCAGAGAAAGTTGTTGATAGGGCGGCATTCTAGGTGGACCAGCATTGAATAAATAATAAAAACGAATATCAAGATCAATCCTCACCTTAAGGTCACGGATCTAGAGGTAGATAGCCCATGAGTGAACAGCATGAGGGTGTATGATAGGCGACGACGCACGATCACAGTTTTGCCATTGGTATAGACAACCTTATCTTTACTAGCTGAGATCTTTGTCGATGTTCCACGTACGGTATTGGGAGAGCAAGGATATAAAGCGATTTGCTTGGATGACATTGCGAGGATCACTGAAACTTAGCAAGTGTGGTTGACAAGGTCAGGTGTGTAGACTGATCAAAAGCCCGGGCTGCGGATACGGTTGTGTCAGGGGAAAGACAGATTAGGAAACCAGCTTGACGACCAGTGACTAGTCTTTAGCCAGCCTGCTAGGTTGGGGGTAGAGGTTAACAATCTTGGTTCTACACATAAGCTAGCAGGGTCATGATCTCATACGAATACTTTTACAAAACTCAAGACAAAACCCAAGACCAAGATGTTGGAGCAGGAGGCGGAAAGTGAGGGTAGATCATAATGTAGCATACTAACCGACAATAGCTTAGGCGAAAAGAGAGGTTAAACAAGGGGGAAAGATCATTCAGTCATCCTGTGGACATTCTTCGGTAGAATAATTCTTCAAAGGATCTTTCCTCAACGCTTCTGCTTCAGATCCAATAACAGGTCCCCCAACAGTTTTTAGTTTCATCACCGTTTCAGGTGCAAGCATTGCAGCCGACGGGTCTATTTCAGGCTAAATCGATAAGCAGCCGTCAGCAACTTTGTACAGCCGTACAGTAAAGTTTACTCGCCTCATCTCGAAACGGTGTGAATTGAGGGATAGACGGAATGCCGCCACCGTTGGGGACGTCATGAAACGGTATCATGGTGCTAGTCCTTGTGGGAGTCTCCGGTACTGTGTCCTTCTGCCTGGATATGGGAACACGAGGTGGGTCCATTACAACCTTTCCTTCCACGTCCACGTCTGGTTCGGGGTCTCTGAAAGGTACAATTTTTGGTGCAATTGCTCCCGAATTCGACCCAGACGCAATTCGTCTAGTACGACCTGCTTGCTTTAAGGTGCTGCCTGCAGCTTTGCTGACCTCGGGTACATTTTCTTTGACCCGAGATTTACGTGTTCCGATATCAGGATAAGGTGTGACTGAGTCCATTGCGTCGGCTGACCCTGCTCCGGAAGGGTCCACGAAAATTTGGAGACGAGCGTTTGTGCCTAGCCGTGGTCCACTTCGAGACCCATTGGCACCGGCTTGCGATGATGACGAAGGAGTTGATACTGCGGCAGAAGATGAGGAAGTCACCCCCAACGCTGTTCTACGTGGGGGAGCATTTGGAGCGGGCTGTGGAGTCATTGTGGCTGCAGTCATCATTCGTTTCTGGAATTCACTATGCTTTGCTACAAGTCTATCAAGGGGAGAAGCCTGACGTGCAATTCCAAGTAGATATGCAGCATCTGCTTCATTGCGCCTGCGACAAAACCTTGCTTCAAAACGAGCCTTGCGTGAAGTGAGGCTGAAGCTTACCGTCCGGCTTTTTCAAGTGCAGCCGCGTATTCCTCATACAGTAAAGCATGATCGGTTCCAATATCATTTGCGAGCAAAAATTTGTAGATGATGGTCGGTTTCTCCACATAGCTCGCGTACAGTACCCAAAGTTTGAGGTACGTCGACGTCCCTTTCCATCGTCCTTCTCGGTTGCCCTTTAATACCCTTGTTGCCTCTTCCAGAAGCTCTAGAAGTCCGGACTCTGCGCTTTGCCCTTGAGGGTAATTTTCGAGAGTCCATTGAACAAAACGCGAGTATGCTTCCAGCGGATCATCATCATCATCTTCGAGTGCAATTTGGATGTTCGTACGGAAGCGCTTGCGCGCTGCGAGTAGTTGCGCATCCCGCTGTGCGTGAGGAGTTTGCAGGATAGCTGAAAGAGTGGTAACTCTACGACCAGATGCAAGTGGCTGGATATTCTCTTTAGCAGCCTCTAGGACGTCACAGTCCACAATCACAGGAGTTGGTTTGGACACGTCGTCTTCTATATTCTCCATGTGTCAGAGGATCAAGAGTGAATTTTGGTCAGTGAAATGGTTGTAACTGACGTTCATAAGTAGCAACAAAACAAGTTTGAACGCTACATGGTCACGTGAAATACGCGTGACCGTCTCCAGAAATCAAATTAGATCGAGACAGACCCATGAATGAGATGGCTTGAAGCAAATGGTCATGAAGCCCTTATACATACTTACCATCCCTGAAACTCAAATCTTCTCTTCCAGGCAGTGTACTAGTATGCTGCAGAAAATTCACGTGCCAACACTCACTTCTATGTACTGAGAATGAACTTCATCTGTTGTGCATAGCGAGAAAATGTCAAATAATAAATGATAGGTTACTGCATGATTCTGTGTAAAACAGCAGAATCAGCAACCCAGAGATGTCTATAATTGACCCAAAATGACAAGCACTGGTAAATGATTGTCGGGAGAGAGATCTCGAGTCTCGAGAAGGTGACCACCAGGACACGAAGACTGACCTGCACAACAGTTTGTGCCTGTTTCAGGTGCACAGACGTGCCCAATCAAGACAACAAAATTCTTGCAGCACATCAGAACTGGCTTACAAGTGAATTAATCTAAATGGTTCTTCTGACTCTGCATGGAATAATTACCACATCACCACGGATATTCAGAAACTTGTGCTCACCATCAATTTTTGGGCACGCTGACGCACGTCATGCAGATAAGACACGACCTTTGCAGCACACCAGAAATCAGTAAGAGCACGACCATCTATATAGTTGTTGTGTTTGAAAGCTGCAAAAAGGCTGTTAACGCATACTTTCAAGACATTATTTGCTTACCAAAAAATTTCTGAATTCGGGCGTGCTCACGGGCGTCAATGTACAATGGAGTTGGTAAGGTAGCGGCAGTGCATGCCAGCATTGAGACTGCAATATTCTGTAGGACCGGGAGTTCAAGAGGGAATGGAAAGCTGCAAAAACATACGAGAGTAAGTGTACTTGCCTGCTGAAGTCACCAGCAGCTGTGGAGGAGTGGATGTGTTTGAAAACATTAATCAAAGGTGAGACCAAACTGATACCATCTGCGCAGGTAAAGTACTTGGAAAAGCCTCAGTCATTTCGGTTAGAAAAGTCTATTGCATACTAAATTTGCGTGACCTTTAGATTCGAGGACATCAGTAGCAGCAGACCACGGGATGTGAAAGCTTAAAAAAATTGACCAGGGTAAGTGCGAGAATAAATAGGGATGTACACAACAGTACTTCAAGCTTCAAGGCTTGCCACCGGCGCGCTGACGCGCCTCCGTCACCAAAGTAAACTCGTAAGGCTGCCAATGCGAAACCTGCAATTGTGATATTCCGTAGAATCTCTCTTCTGACAGGAAATGAAAACAAGTAGTGTATTGACCCACAGAACAGTTACTGGCGATGTCGAGGGGTGAAGGTATTGATTTACAAGTAGGTACACAAACGGACCGGTACTAGCCGGCACTGCAAGTTTGCTTTTCAAACTCCGTAAGGTCCTGTGATCATATTCGAGTCGCACTGGAGGTTGACAGTACTCCTAATTCCTGAATGCGGAACGTTGGCGTAACGACCATCTTCCTTCATCTCAAATGATCTGGCTAGGGGAGACTATGTGGAGCATGTGTGGAACTTAGATATGAAGTCCGAGGTGATATTATCCAGCCAGTCGTAAGTTATAGTTATTATAGCCTTATGCACATCTCTCAAGCCTTGCAGTTGCGACAGGAAGTCCGAGGTGGTGTTACTGAAACAACTTCAACTGAAGGCACCACTTTGCAAGAAATACCTCCGCCGATTCAGTTATCTGCTTTCGCCTAAACACGGACGCCGTGTGCAACTGGTGGACCCGCCTGAATGGCGTCTGATTGCCCTGGTAATGCCAGGAGGTCAAAAGTTGTAGCCTCCTAAAGAACTCAGTGCCATGTTCTTGTCCAGCTGATTGGTTGCTTCTCAGGTTGTCAGTACATCATTACCTTGGTCCGTCATATCACTGATGGCCTATCCGAGGATGCTGTAATAACATAATGAGCGTTCATTGTCCAGTATCCATTCTCATGACTCATTCATCACCACGCGATGTGGTGGGATCCTTTCGCACAGCGGCGGCATAGTGGCATGATGGTGCCTATGCCAATACACGGTAATGCGGCCATACGTTATGCCACATCTTGGACTGTCTTTTATCGCTAAGTACGCGCCCGGATCATCGACACAATGAATCATTTACTCATTGTCTCGATATCATTTCAATATTGCTGAAAACCATTTGGAGTATATGGCCGAAATTGTCTATATTTTCAGCCGTATCGCCTTCGCCCCTGAGGCCTGATTATCGCATCAAATATTGACGACCGAGTCTGGAATACGCTGCGCATATGTTCTGATCCGCTGAGCGCGCTGATTTGTGTCGTTTTCTTATATGGGAGCCCTAGCCTTCAATGGCTACCCAATAATGTAAGACATGACATTGACAGCGATTGGTCTAGATCCGAGCGCTGCGCGCTCCTGGTTGGTTCCATTTTTCTCTTGAACAGAGGTAATATCAATACTAGTACCAATTACGTACAGACCTGAGGTTGCGGGACTGTAGCGGCAAATCGCTATCAACTTCGAAAGAAACTTTATTACAATGTTTTCTTGTGATACTGAAACACGAGGGGACTAGTGCTGCCTCTCTAGTACATGGAATGGTGCTAGGCCAAAAAAACATCACTTGGCTTTTAGTTCAATTATGTTAGATGTTCCTCCCGAACTTGGAAGAATTATTGCCGTTAATCGAGTTCGAAAGGGTGCAACTCTTACGTTTCTGGATATACATATCTTGTAGAAACTACCGCCCAAAAACGGATTTCTCCTGAGATTACTCTTCGAATCTGATTTCATGCTCAGCTTGCCGTAGGATCGTGAAAATTACAATAATGTGCGGAAACCGCGAAAGTTGAACTTGCGGTCCGAAAGTAGGACCCCAGAAGGCATAATGGCAGGTGTTCGTCATTGAGCGCTCCTCTGAGCAGCATGCCGCCACGGCAGCCAAGCACAGTCCCTAAATTTGAAAGCTCGCATAGTACGTGTTTTGCACCAATGCAAACATTCCCTTGCAAGTATCTGCCATTTATTTAGTGTCAAGAAGACACTTACATCCAGCTGACTCGTCCTGCCAGCATTCCATCTCCAAATGCAAACAACGGGCATCGTGGCAAGAACCGCAACCTCATGACATCAATGTCATGGCCTTTATCACCATTATCCATTGCCGAATTCCCACCATGTGCCTGAGATGAGGTACAGCGCGAGTTACGGGCGTGTCGTGGTGCGTATCTGTAAATACCGTATGCTTCTCTGCACCCCGCACCCCGCACTGGCTAGAGTCGCTATCTTGGCCGTCAGAAGAGCATATCTGCTCGTGCTCTCGAGTGAGATGAAGAACGACGCGCTATCTTCATAAACCATGATGCCGAGATAGCTTCGGACCCGGAAACACTCATGTTCGGTGATGAAGCTGTGAAAGATGGAAGGACACTGATCCATCGATTCGGAAGATTGAAATTTGAAACAAGGTTCGCCTCATTTACAGCTTAGCACGGGTTCAAGAGTATCTCTTCTTAGTGACCTTATAGAGCGATTTGTGGTGCTTCGCAATTATACCTGTGAGGAAGTCGATTCATTGGGCTCGGTCCCGGAGATATGAAAAATGACTTCTTGACCTTCGTAGACCTTCTTCAAGTCGACTTTAATTGTGCCATTGATTTCTGTCGATGTATGTATCGAGATTTGCAACAAAGATGGTCTCCTGCCGAGGTATTTCTGGAGGGGATCCAGAAGTTGAAGCCATTGTTGAAAAGTTCATCTAAATACGTATGATATCTCCGACTTGCAGCCTCAGCTGTCATTGGCTTGCGGGGTCCTGCTTCGGACGTTTCCGAGACGTCAACTTGGCATAATTTGCAGTTGAGCTGTAAGTTCATTAGATATTCACATGCACAACGAGGCAGCTCGTATCATGGCATAGTAAGTGTGGCGACAAGCTCCCGGGACAAGTGGAGTTGCATCTACACTAGTACTAGTCATTACTAGCACTCGGCCTGAAAGTTACGTATAACTGATGAGATATGCAAGCTAAATTCCGGCCTAGACTGATCACACTAAGGTTGCAAGTAAGAGGAATCAGTCAACTTGATATTGGCTACAAGTACGACTTGGAAGTCAAAATACCATGATCATAATAAGGATCATAAATTTCTAAATGATAAGGAATAAAAAGTATCTTCAGTACGATCACAAAATTCACAGGTCGTGCTAACGCTCAAAAACTCGTACAGGTACGTGACAAATTATTTGTGTTATCGTTGAGATAAATAAGTCCAGAACGCCGAAATTGATTGATTAATGGGCGGGCCCGACGACCTCTTGCTTGACCCTCGAGAAACTGGCAATGGTAGCGTCATCGAGACCGAGATGTGCTTTGACAAGCTCAGGTGGCGTCAGTGCAAGCCACTGAGTAAGAGAGATATCCTGGAACAATCCTGTAGAATGATAATGAGTTTGACACGCGGCATATAGTTTGATATACAGAACCTGATCTGAAAATTTCTAGAAACAGTAACGTGGAATTGCCAGTATTCTCAACGTAATGGCCTAAAAGATATTTAGAAGAAATGTCGAACACAATCACGTTAAACCCATACCATATGATGGCGGAATATATGCGATATCGCCAGCCTAAAAGGAGAGAAGCATTCGTTGTTATATAACTGCCGAATCGCGGAAATTCGGAGACTTACTTGGAAGTCCATTGTAGTTGCCTGAGCGGAGGATCCGTAAACAGTAATGCGGGCTTGGCCCGAACTGAGAAGGATTTAGTTGGATTAGATCTCAGGTAAAACTGATACCCACACGAAGAAAGTCCACTCAGGTTCCGTGGGGTGCCACTTCACAAACAAAATTTAGAAAGATGTTCTCGAGACAGAAGGATTTCCTCACGTGAAGCTCCCTGTTAAACCATACAGTTGGTTAGCTCGGGCTCTGACAAAGACAAGTAAGAATCACAAACCTCATACCGCCCACCTCGACAGTTACTTCAGCACTACAGACCGTGGTAGACACAGGGAAGGTACGCGTGTCTACGACCTTGTATGAACCTCCAGGTGCCTGAGTTGCGTTGACTTGTGACATGGCGAAGGTGAAAGGCATTGGGGTGTCATTCGGAATGACCATGTCCGACTCAATATTCAATGGAGGGGGAGTAGCTAATGAAGACGTGAATTTATGTGATCACCGGGAATGGGAAAAACCTACATGGGAAGATGTATAATTCGCTAGCTGGGATGTGATCGAATGCTGAGATATTTACCTGGAAGTTCTTTGCGATAACTTCTTTGGGCACATGGGCCAGCCAGTCCTATTGATCATGTTCAGGCAAGGACTCATACACAGACAAACGACCAACCGTAAGAAGGAAAGTGGAATCTTCACTGAAGGAGCCAGAGTCGAAGACCAACAAAAACTCTGCGCCACCGGCTGAAGTATTTTTGGCCTGGATACTGGATCACAGTTTAGCTCATTGCCTGAGTGTAAATGAAACACATACCTATGGGGATAGCCTGCAGGGAAGTACCATATATCTCCTTGTGACTGAATCGCAGTTTAGGCAAGGTGTATGAGCGGGTGTGATGTACTCACAACATCACCGACGTAAACTTGACCATCCGGAGTTACAGTGCTGATACGAAGGTCACCCTGGATAATATATGCCCACTGTAAAATGACCATTAGTGCTGCACTCTGCAGTTCAAGAAAGTCGTATACCTCGCCGTCATTGTGCCAGTGCATCTCACGGATGGCACCTACTTCCAGGCGCATATTGACGCCTGCCAAATCAGTAGCGATACTCATATCATTTACTGGCAAGTCACGTTTCATCACTTGTAGGCGAAATCATGACATAAACCACGTACTGTTCTGCTGCCTTGCCCAACCACCAGTCTGAAGGCGATTGTGACTTAAGGAAAAAGGCCACTTGAAGTTCGGTCTAGTATGCAGTTTAAGAAACGAGAAAACACCGTGAGGTATATGCCTTACAGAGAGCCGGCGTCGGTGGTGGGAGGAGCTAAGAGGTCGGGGTTTTGCAGCTCCATTGGAATATTTTGGGGTCCAAGGATGGAAGCCCCAAGGGTGCCACGGATAGCTTCAGGGATTATGTCTTCATCTTCATTCCATAGAGGATAGTTGGGGTCGTCACTGGCATAAGGGACAGTTGGACTAGCTGCCGGAGCTGATGTCACTGATGAGGAAGCTGGCACAGCAACTGCAGATGAAAGGAGGGCCAAAATCGAGAGAATTCGGCACCACGAGTGCATTTTTTCGAGTATGCAGAAGAAGAACCAAGAAACTTAAAAAAATTACACTAAGGAACTACACAATTTGAAGTCGATCCTTTTTATACGGTCAGTGAATCTCGGTTCCGTCATTGTTAACGTACCAGGAAAGGGTCGCCGCACCAGACGACATTGATTACGCACGCGATAATTGCGGAAGCATTAACAGCAACATTGTTGCACAAAATGGTATCTTTCCAAGCGGCGGGTGTACCTGCAAGTTTTAGGACATTACCGGTTGGCTATAGAATGAAACCTTCACATGAGAGGACAAACTCATGGCAGCACATTGGCGTCGTTTGGGGATGTATTTTTACAATGTCCCAGAATGGAAATTTGGGCACGTTGCCGACCCTGAACTTGGAGGAAGTTGTTTATGGCCCACCCAACTTGGCGGTATCCTATTGACGCTTTCCTGCTGATCTTTCTCCTATTTGACCATCCCTATGTATATCTAAGGAGCTATGGACTATTTTGAGCCTAAGAGCACTCACATATTCTGGCTGCGCACTGGTTTTCCGGGGTCATGAAACTCGACGATCACCGACAACTCATGTTTCTCTATGGATCGGTGCCGAGCCTCGACGGACGGGTTGTCTAAGAAGGAACTTTTGGAAGTGTCCGTAGTCTGGTCATCTTGGGTCGGCGGTGTTGTCCAAGAAGACGCGATATCCAATTCACGGGATAGTCCGACCATTCAGACTTGACGGAACAGTGGATGAGGTAACTTACAGGCTCAAGCGCTCAACCATGTTTAGCAACGTATTGATCTTTCCTAGAGACTTCAGTCACTTGTTCACACTGCCAGCCCACTCTCAGCGAATCCGGGTTTTGGAGTGAACATGATCTGAGATGGGTGTTCTCACTCATTGCTTTTCGTTCCTGACGGATTGAACATCAGATGCAAAAATAGACAGGTCAAGACGAATTCCAACATATCAACATATAGGTCATTGATACTATTGCTGGCGCTATTTGATTGCCGCAATTCCATGTGGGCGAACTTATCATCAACAGAAAAATCGGGATTCAACAAGTTCTCAAGCACATGCGATTCTATTTTGACGCAGTTTTCAAGTTTTTAATTGCTTTGAAACCAAGTAGCATGACGAGCCGCGCGAGTCCGGGTCCTCCCCTCTGTAACCCAAGAAGACTGAACCGAATCACCTTGTCTATAGGCTCCTGGCCACCAAGCTAGGTTTGCTGCGCAATTTACCCTGGCATGTTCTCGGGTTTTAAGATAGACGCCTCACAATCCGTTAGCTGCGCCATCCCTTCTAATTCTGGAAAATCAAATGTCTGTTATGGGGACCTCAGGCCATTAGATCAGTCTTACAAAGCTCGTACCTTCCTGCGTTAGCGAAGCCGGTGCATATCTACATTCTACTTCGGCATCATTCGCTGTCGATTTTCTTACGGGTATCGCGCTGACTGATACATCCCGCCGTGTTTACTTATGTTATCATTCATTCTGGCATATTATAATTGGTGCGCCCACTTTGATTCAACATAGTTTCTTCTCAATTAAATGAAGAACTTCTTTTAATATAATACAACCGTCGCCTGAAGACTCGTCAACGTCCAATAGCGAACGAGAGGCGCTGAGGAAGGCAAGCACCAGCGAGCACCCACTATGATGTGACACATGGGTAAATGCCAAATTACACATAACTCAAGCGAACCTGTGCCACATGTGTAAAGGATATACTAAATTTTATGCATATCTCAGCTGCTCCGAGTCCGTGGCCTCGGTCAGGATCCTGACATTCATGTCGACAATACCTTGAGGAGGCATCCGCCTGGCACCACGCTTTGTTATCCGGGATGCTCCCAATAAATTGCAATGATGTACTGCTCTCAAGGGAAGGCCGACTACCTCAGTGAGGACTCGTATCAATGAATCACGTACTGTCCTTGTCAATTATCAAATCCACTCAATTTTTGGGTATCACCGATCCTCGACATTATACACACGACCATGTATTTTTCAGGGCTAAAATCGAATTGGATATTGTGCCACGGCCGACTTATGGGTGTTCGAGGCTTGTTTTATGCATAGATGACTCTCTTCACACATCCCAGCAAATCGGGAATGCGATACGTGGTTACCCATGATTACTTATAGAATACTACTAGAATAATCTCCGAGCACATGCTTGTCAAAATGAATCTGAACAACCTGACAGTACACCCAAAGCGGTACATCGAGATTGCATGCAAATTGAAATCCCGTAACCAAAACGAATGTTTTTCGTCAATTTGACGCTGGTACGGTGTGACATAATGCGCGGACCCTGTGCACGCCGCAAAGTGTAGGGAAAAACGCGCTTCGCTCTGCGGTGCCTTTTCGCTGCAGTCAATACGTCAATTAAAAAGAAAAAAACTAGCGGGCCTTGCACTTCCGATGTCAGATTATCCATCTATCGACAAATCACATTGTTTATGAGAAAGTCGGAGAGTGATAGCCCAATTGCAAGAACTCTAATGACACGAGTCAGATCTATAACACATGGATGCATGTGTGATGCCGTTATAGATGCCCTTAAACCTCTTTTACAGAGCGGACATATATCGTCGCCGGAACATGAGACCTTGCTAGAATGCGTATATACTAGCAGGGAATTGAAATGCGTTCGGTGCGGATCATATAGGAGCTGCGCAGACTAATAGATGACGCCGTGGAGTGAGTATGGATATCATATGGCAGATAATGCAATTTATAAATTTTGACTAGTGAGCAGATCGGCGGCGAGCGAGGGTGGTGTGATCTGAGAAGAAGTTCACACAAGGTACAACTTCCTACTACTAGACTTTCGTGTGTTTCAAAACAGTGAACTCGACAGCAGTTATTTTTGTGTCGATTTCCGTGTGGGGACCGTCGGGGTACCAAGCTGGGCTTGGTTCACTTGGATACTCTTGGGATGTTGTTTCATCAGGAACGGTGGCACAGCACTCAACCTCGCGTATTGCTCACGTGACCTTGCTTAGCGGTGAGAACGGGCCCACACTGTTGTGCCTTCGGCATCAGCAAATTCCCCATGTTTTGAAATTATGCTGGGAGGCCCTTGAACTCGAACCACCACCATGGTTGTTTTTTCCCACGCAAAATTTGTGGGGCAAGGTCGAGTTAACCACTACTCACAGCCATAAGCTGGCCAGACACAATTATAAAAACTCCAACGACCTGTAACGGGCGCTCAACGAGTGACAGGGACAAGTGAGGGATGAGAGGAGAAGAGAGGCCAGGTACTGGCGTTGATTCGACGAGGAAAAAGGTACAAAACTTTGAGCCACATATAAGTATCTAGAATGTGATAATGTAAGGTGAAACATAACAATGAGACTGGGTATAGTAAATGTGTCAGTGATACAATAAGTCCATAAATATCCGAATGAGCTGTTCTGCACGGAACGGAGTACATCGACACAATGCTGGTACTGTAAAGAGACTGTGAGCTAAGTAGAATGGCCGTGGACTACGTAGAGTGACCATGACCGTGACATCATCCCCCTTCTAGAGCGAGTGAGGATGAGTCTACAGGTCGAGCCTTTCGGCAGGATGCGAGACATGACCCCCATGGGTCGTTGTCTGTGGTGGAGGCACGTACTCAGATCTCAACCTCTGACGTACGGCAACAGGTGATGGAGGATGGGCAGCAGCGGGAGGAATGGCAGCAAGGGCAGGTGCAGGAGGTTTGGGAGGCACAGTAGGTGTGATGGGTATTGGGACCTGTGCAGAAGGAGGGAGAAGGTTATCAGTAGACAAGGAAGGATTATGATAATTTTTGTTCATATCGAATATATGAGGGTGCGGGGAGCACAGATTATGATGATGGAAGTGTTCGATGAGTTCGTCGAACAAGTTGGGGATGTCAGAAAGGGGAAGCCACGAATCTTCAGATTCGGGTAGAGACTTCCACTGTATGAGATACTCATAACAGTGGCTGATTTTTCGACAGTCCATTATGGACTTGATGTTGTGGGCTGGGTCATCGACGAGGTCGAAAGGGAGTGGAGGCGAGTGGGTGTGGAATTGGGAAGGATCAGCATAAGGTTCAAGAAGTGAAACATTGAATACTGGGTGGAGGCGGGATAAGTAAGAAGGGAGATGGAGTAAGTAGGCGGAGGAGCCAATTTTGCGAATGATGGGTATGGGCTGAGTTGACAATGATCAAGTTTCAGGGATGGGTGTGTAGTCCGGATGTTGCGACACAACAACCAGACTAGTTGTCCAGGTTGGAACTCTGGAGCCTTGGTGACCTTCTTGTTGTAATGTTTGGCTTGGCTGTCTTGCGTGTGCTGCAATTCCGCGCACAACTCTTCGTGGATCATGTCGAGTCGCGCAGCAAGGCTAGCAGCTGCGGGAATGGATGATCGTTCAGTAACCTGTGGTTCGAAAGAGGGATGGTAAGCATAGTTAGTGAAAAAGGGTTTGTGATGAGTGGAAGAGTTCTCAAGGTTGTTAAACGTGAATTCAGCAAGAGGAAGATAGTCCACCCAATCGTCCTGCTGATATGAACAGTAGGCGCGGAGATAGGTCTCCAGCGTCTGGTTCGTGCGCTCTGTCAGACCGTCATTCTGGGGGTGATAAGCTGTGGATGTGCGAGTGTCAATCTTCAACAACGACATAAGCTCGGACCAAAACTTAGAGATAAAGATGGAACCACAGTCAGAGACAATAGAGTCTGGGAGGCTGTGCAGATGAAAGATACAATCTAAAAACAACCAGGCTAAGTCGGGAGCCGGTCACAAACGACCCATATTGAATCGTAGTCGTGTGATGCGGGGAGTTTGATGATAAAGTCCATGGATATGGCCTTCCATGGATGAGAGGGAACATCGAGAGGTTGGAGTAAGCCGTAAGGCTTGTGGCAAGGTGTCTTGATGCGTGCGCAGGTGTCACAAGCCTCTACGTAGCGTCTGACAAAGGTTTGCATGCCAGGCCATGAGTAGTCTCAAGCGATGAGTCCGAATGTTCAATT